ATAATCATCTAAGCAAGAAATAGCAAAACTTTTTTTTTACTTTTTTGCTCAAAAATAGAAAAAGTGCCCGTGAATCTTACTTAACTGCTTTCCAACAATCTTTTATTGCGGATTGTGTTAACATTCTAATTCCCATTTTTCATCCATTAGATGTTTTGTCATGTGATGCGTAGTTTTTGAGATATTTTAATTGCCCAACTTGCCCCTATGCTAAACTAGCCCCGCTCTACCCTACTTTATGTACAAGTTCTGTTTTGTTTTTGATGACTTTTTAAAACCCTTGGTAACCCAAGGCACGGTCTTTCACAAGCGCTATGTTTAGGTACGTATGCGTGAGAAAATGCGAAAAACTTTTGAACTTTTAAAATGGCTACGGTTCTTAACTACAGAGTATATTTTATATGGCAACCGTGTTATTTGTTTTTGATTTCTGAAAACATTGTTTTCAGAGATCAAATAACATCGCCTTATTTTTATGTAGAATAGTACATTATTACAAAAATTTCACAAAAATATAAATAAAAAAAGGATGAAAAATATCTTAGAAAACTTAAACTTTATTTTCAATTAACAACTTTTTAGTGTAACTCGTAGATTTGTTTGTTTATTTGAAACCAATTTTCTAAAAATCTGACTGTAGGATTTCAATTAAACTTCAGATAAATATGTTCTATATTTATGATATTTTTCTGGTCACTGCTTTAACTTTTTTTCAATATAAAAATTTGTGTTTACTGTTATGACTATTTACTAATATATATATATATATATATATATATATATATATATATATATATATATATATATATATATATATATATATATATATATATATATATATATATATATATATATATATATATATATGTATATATATATATATATATATATATATATATATATATATATATATATATATATATATATATATATATATATATATATATATATATATATATATATATATACATATATACAGCTTTGATGTTTGCGGCTCGATAAACTTCCATCTGTTTTATACTTCCATGACTACATTGAGTCCTAACTAGATGCACGATATTTTCATTTACGTAGATAGAAACTCCACCACCGCATTTATTAACTTGACAAAACCAATATAAAATGAGGATAATTTGTTAACTTGTTTTAATAAAAACGTGTCGTATTATTAAGGTAATTTAAATTTAACCATCTTTCAGTTAAGCAAATTATATTAAAAATATTTTTTGTTTCATCTAATAAATTGAGTAGTTTTTCAAATTTGCAACAGAGGCTTCTTATATTTATGTTAACAATTTTAACTTTGTGCGCATTTCTGTCATTAAAATATTTAAAAAAAATTCTTTTAATTTATTCGGAAAATGATTGTAGTAATCTGTAAACGAAATGGTACAAAAATTTACACCAAGGTCGTTGTTTTCATAAGTCATAAGATTATTCCTTTCAGTAAAATTTAAGCTAAAGGATTCAAAGTCGTCAATTTAAACCACATTTGTTATTGGTAATATTTTATTACAAAGATTTCTTTTTAAAGCTAGGTGGTATAGAGTTTCTGAGATCTCTGGAAAAAATTACAATGTAATTTTTTCCATCATGTAACATCATAAATAAAAATGACATACCTTCTTTGTGCAGTTTTGCTTTCGCGCTCTAAGGAAACTCTGACCTCATGTGTACTTGACCACATTTGATGTGAGTTTTATGTTGCAATACGTAATTTTCTGGTTTCCAATCTCGGAAAATAAGTTTATCGTACGAAATGTCAGCGTGTTTACCAGCCTGTCGTTCGACATTTATTCTTTCGCATTATTCCTTTCGTATTATGTTTATTTCCATCCAGTAGTCTTCGGATATGTAGATGTTTTTGCCTTATAGTTTGAAAGAATTTTTAAGAGCTTTGGTTTTGTCATTAAAATCTAAAAGTTTTAGGACGATTGTTTGGTGTTTTTTATTTTCAATTTTCCCTGTTCTATGCGCTCTTTTTATTTTAACATTATGAACCCCTAAGTAATCGTTAAATATTTTTTTAACTTTTAATTCACAATCATTCCAGCTTTCGTTTTCGTTTTTATAATATATATTTTAATATATAATTTTTTTTTCGTTATATAAAAGAACACGTTTTTAAAACGAAATATCACGTCATTTTTTTAAATTTAATACCGCGTATATTTTTGAAAAAAGAGATTTTTAACAAAAAAAAAAAAATAATAATAATGAAAAGATTTATACTCAGCATCATAATAACAGAAACATTTATTTTTTATTTTTATTTTATTATTTATTATTTTTTATTTTATTAACACCAATGATATTGACTGAAACATACCAAAAACGTATTCGGACTTGTGACGAAACATTTCTTTTTTGAATTTTGAAAAATCTTTCTTTTAACTAAGAGTGCCTAGCTGAACATAAACCCTCAGTTGAGTAGACAAATAGGCGTCCCAACCTGAATTTTTATTTTATCCGTTTAGTCACTTTTAATTTATACAATTTTATATGAAACTATAAGAGTGCAAAAATTAATAGGTAATGCGTGCAAATAATTTTTTTCTTATATGTACACGCTTATATAAACATTAACTATTTTGACTGCTTCACTTAAAAATCCAGTGTAATTTAGTTATAAATATATTGTATATTAGTTATAATATAATTTATTTAAAAATAAATTTTTAAATAAATTATATTAATTTATAAAGCTCATTATTAAACCCTATTTAGATAACTATTGAAATACTTTTCTTTTAATATTAAAAGAATGCGTGCTTAAACCTAAACCCTCAGTCGGCGTATGTACACTTATTCTCCTATCCCTACTTAAGTCAGTCGATGTATGTAACTACACTGCGTCTATTGATGTATCAGTCAATTTAAGTACGCATTGATGCACTTATTCTATGAAACTTTGAAAAATAAAAGCAATAAATAAATATAATTATTAATAAATAACGATAATACTAAAAAATACATAAACTATTTTGAAGAAAATGTATAATATTACCGTATTTAAAACAACAAAAGTTTTTAATTTTTAGGGGGAGAGGTAGGGGAGGAGAAGGAATATTACAAATTTGTAAAATTAGCTTTGTCCCAACAAGCGCAAATGCGCTTGTTCGGACAAAGTTAATGGGACACTGCACGTTAAAGTGTAAAGAGAGCAATTTGAGTTTCAAAATATTTATAGATAAACTTTTACCAGAACAGAAAACTTCATTTAAAAACGAAAAAAAAAGAAGCAATTAACAACTATAAAAAGTCATTCTTCAACTTTTAAGGAGCCCCCGATAGATGGTGGTGGTGCAGGGTCATAAATCCGCATCAGTGCTCATCATGATTAAAGTAATCAAATCAAATTTTAATAAGCAGTTTTCTGTGCGTCTCCTGTTAACTCCTTTTTTATGATAATAAATGTAGTTTTCGTTTGAGCGAAATACAAGTCAATCAAATTTTTGCTTATTTTTGAAAATAATTTATAAGCGTTTATGTGTATTTTTAAAGAGATTTTTACGGCAATTCTCTACCACAAACTTTATTAGGAAATGCATCAGTATTTTGTGAAAATAACTAAAGCTTTAGTTGGTTGTTTTCACGTGATATTTCACGTGGCTTTTCACATGGTTTTTCACGTGGTATAAAAACTTTGTGCCAAAAACTCATTATGCGTGGGTTTTATAGCATGAAGCAAAAACATAGTTTTTTTCGGCAAAAATAAATATTTTGTTTAACTACAGAACTTTTTTTCTTTCCAATTTGAAAAAATTATATTTGAAATTTTACACTCGCGTAGTCTGACTTATATTTGTTTCAAATCTATTTGCAAGTTACAAACTGCATTTATAAAAAGGAATCTAATAACTTTTTTTGGTTTATATACGAGAAAATGCAGAAGATTTTGCCTCTAGGTTTTAAATTCAAACTTAATGTAATGTGAAATTTTGTTTTGTTGCGACAACAAATGCATTTTTTAATGTTGCAAAAAAAAAAAATACTTAAGTATAAATTTTAACTGCAATAACACGCGCTTGTGTGCGAGTGTTTAAAAAAATTAAAAAAATGCTTGCATGTGCCCGCGTGTGTGTATTAACAACTATCTGTGTGTTTGCAATTTTGCGTTTTGAAAACGTATTCCTTATTGGTAAAAACAAAAAATAAAAATTTAGTCCTTCTCAGTTATGTTCAATCAGGTATGTGTGTTAACAAATAATAATTAGTTTGTAGATGTACACGTTTGTTGATGCACGTACGCGGTAAACAGTTGATCAATATTTAGTGGATGTAAAAGAATTAAAAAAAAATTTTTTATTATTATTACGTATTATATACATAAAAAATAAAAAGTACTTGTCTTATTAAAATACAAGACTAAGTACTTATTAAACAATTAATACAAATACAATTAAATTAAAAAAGCAGCAGTTAGTGATGAAGTTTGGACGATACTTGATTATTTCGTACTTGTGAATTGCGATCGGATGCAAAAAAAGTAATAGCAGAATACTATTATCTGCTAATGACTTTGTACTGTTCCAAGTTATAAATTTTGTATAATAAAACATATAATTGTTAAAAACTCATTATGTTTAAAAAAAGCTCTTCAAAATACGATAAATATGTAGTTTAATAAAATGTAGTTTTATAAACTTTGAAAAAAGAGGATAAAAATGTATCATTGAAAATACAATTTTTAAATCAAGCTAACCCAATAGAACCCTCTTTTTTTACTTTTTAAAAAACACGCTATTTGAACAGGAAAGTGGTTAAGAAAATTACATCAAGTAATTTAAATTAATTTCGAAAATGATCCAAAAAGCCAATATAAGTACGCATGCGTAACAAGAATTTCTTTTGTTCTAAATTAATTTGCGTCAATAATAATTGATCGGTAAAAGTTGCGCAAAAACATTCCTTAACAAGCATCCTTTATAAGCAGAAATTAGATATCGACAATAGTAAATACTTTTTGTTATTGTATTTTTATTGCTATTGATATTGGT